AGGGATGTCTGTACAGGGGGCCCTGACTATAAATAGTCCTGATGGGTTGACAGAGATCGTATGTCAGAGAATCAGAAAAGTTCTTGTGATTTTTTGATTTTTCTGATTCATTTTGCTAGCACAAATATTCACACACATATTTCATGAGTCCAAATGGAGGCAGGGCCTTAGCCCTTTTGAAAAATTTAGTTATAAATGTTCTTTCTGCAGCTAGTCACTAGGTGGCAGTATGAGCTCAGCCACTGCACTTTAAAAGCACATGCAGGCAGTGAGGGGAAAAAAGGTGCCAGAACTCTGAAGTTCACTAAGGGCTTGTTTACACAGGGACAGTGAGGAATGTTAAGGTGAATCAACTAAAGGTATGGAGTCAATGCAATGACTTTGCTTGTGCTTAATGTGATTCTACTCCAAGAAGATTGTTCAGATTCCACCCAATCACAGCACGAATAATATTAACTGGAAACCAACCTCTTCTGGGTAAAAAAAACAACCCTCGTTATATGTATGCAATGGTATAAAGTGCATATATTTCAGTAAAAAGGACATACCTTGCTAGACCGGTGGGGACCAAAATCAGTCTTGGACTAAGTAAGAGGCAACTTCTCTGGGCTTCAACTGAAGTTGCACCCACTTACACGAGGGAATGAATTTCAGCAGCAAATTGTAATTTTTTAGCCCAAATCTTACTTTTTCTTTCAGTTGTCAAACTCCATATAATTCTTTATATGTATTTCAGATCTATATATGGCTCTTTAAAAATGACAGCTCCATTCTGTCAGTCCTGATCAGTACCAAACCAGTTAGCACATAAAGTGGAGAGTAAAAAATTCAGTTAAAAAAAAAAAACAGATTTCAGCTTCTAGCCTCTCTGTGGGTGTGAATTATTTATTATAAACGTTGCCAAAATAACAGGATTTTAAACACTTTGTAGAATGCCTTGACAGCATCCTTCTAAAATACTTTATCTAGCCCTCAGTAGCTGTCCATTAACAACTGTGAAAGCACAGACAATGTGCTAAGGCACAACACTGAGAATGTCCCTACCCCAAAGAGATTACAATCTAAAAAGGATTATCTGATCTATCTAGCTTTATAAAGCACCCAATCATCACGGTATCATATCATTCAGCAGAGTGGCACCAGCTATATACGGTCACTTTTCTCTTCTTTATGTGCCTGTGCTGAGAGGTGAGCACTGGAAGGGTAAGAGAATTTCATCAGACTCCAGTCAGAGTGAGGTTCATTGCTGGCTTTTCATGATTATTGGGATGTGAAGGTGAACATGATGGCAGACATAGTTGTTCGCTGGTCAAGATGTGGAAGTGCTAGAGCTTGGAGGCCACTTTCTCTGGCTCATTCCACTCATTTGTACCATCTCTGTGGGCCTCTCAGTCTGTGTGGCACAAAGAGAGCAGAGACAGCCCCCTAGCCGGGGATATCCCAAGCCTGGGGGAGGCTCCAGAGGGTGTAGAACCAGTATAGGCAGCTCTTACACTTCCCCCCTCAAAGCCCAGTGCAGGGGGTGTATTGGGGATGGGGAAGGTCATGTCCAGGAAAGGGTCGGCTGGAGCACAATATGCTCTGGCTATCTCCAGTTGGTGTACATCCATAACGAACAGTTGCCAGCTGACACCAATTAGAACAGTCTGAAGGCTACCCTAACCTGCTGGGACAGAGAATCAAATAGTTCTAACTAGCTGCCTGACAGCCCACCCTCTCTGCTGCATTCAGCAGAAGCCAACAGCTGTTGAGAACCTGGCCTTTGATTTTCAGGTGAAAAAAAATGAATTGCAAAGGCAAGAGGATAGCACACCAGCTTCACCCACAGCTCAGCTATTTGTTTGTGATGGGAAAACTGGGGAAAATCTCCAACTATTAATCTTCTGTGGCTTTCCAGCCAAGGAATGGATTCCCCTCCCTTTTCCTCTCCCTCCACCATCCTCTATCTAGTTTTCCATGCTTTGTGCTATTACTTCCAGCATCTATAGTGATGTACTATCTACCTGGGTCAGGAATTTCAAGGACTTTGTGTGGCTTTCCTGCTTTAGGAATTTCCCAAACAAATCACTGCCAGAGTCCACTGACACCAGGAAGTGATACTTGCAGTGGTTTCCCATTGATATCAGCTTCCCATTTCATCTGATTGGATCATTTCAGAACCTGCATAAAACAGAGAAGAGTGTCAATATCACACTGTCTTCATTTTCCAGGATCTAGGAGAAATTCACCAGTTTAGGAGACCAAAGGAAAGATGACAATTGCCTGAGCAGGAGTGACATCAGATGGGTATAGCTGGGACTTCTCGAGGATTGTCTTTGGCAAGCAATTAAATCTCTTTCAGTAATAAAACATAAACATAAACAATCAGGTCAAATCCTGCAGTCCTCATTGAGGCAAAATTGCCATTGGGCTACATCCTGAGAGGTGCTGAGCACCTGACACTCCCATCGACATCAGCAGGAACTTTGCCTATGATATAGAAGGAGTGAAGACTGAATGATTTGACTCATCATTGTTAGCTGGCCCCTTCCATCTGTGCCTTTGTGCTCTCTCTTTTTTTCTTCCACCAAGGCCAGAGAGCAGCTGATTTGACCCTGGAGTTTCACTGGAAATTTTTCAGAGCCATCTGTTAGAAGAAGGTATTTTGGTCATGTTGTCCCACAGGCTATAGAGTCCAGGTATCATTTCTTCAGCACACTGTAGGGCAAAGAGCAACATGCAGACAGATAACGCAGTGATTGAGCAATCTAACACTGCAGAGGCTGGGTGTGCCAGGTCAGACGTTAGCAGAAAATAAGCGGGGGAGGGGAGAGGCCTAAAGAATACTTAAGCATCACCAGTTCACAAGGGAGAGAAGGGGTTGGCAACCGATCACTGTGATACATGCTCTATAATGAGAAAGTTGAATGAGGCCAGCTTCAGTGTGCAGTCAGCCTGTGAAACTCACTGCTGCAGGAGACTACAAAGTTAAATATTGTAGCTGGGTTTTGAAAAGGGAAGGAAATGTTATGCCCAATAACAAGATTTGTAGATCTGTATATGAAGATTAGGGTAAGGATCGGGGGAGGGTAAGTTGGAATGGGATCCAACTCCCTCAAACTTTGGGTATTGACCACCCCCTGAAGCAGGAAGTTAGACACATGCTATGTTTGTAATGTGGCAAGTTATGAGTGCAAAACATTCCACTGCAGGTGTGTGATTTAAAGCGATGTTAGTGGCGAGGTATGTGTACAGAACTAAGGACCAGTGTGCATGTGGAGGGAGCAAGGGCGAGAGTAGGGGACAAAACAGAGTGAACATGGTGCACTGTAGCCAAATCTGATAAAGATACACTTACATTTTAGTTCAGTGTGGCAGCCTTTGTTACCATGATCCTCCAGCTAGCCTTACCAGAAAAGCTTACCTACCTACCTCCCATCCACCAGATTTTTTCAGAAGCACTTTTGCACTTTCTCCTATGCTGCACAATATGCATAGAAAAAACTCCCCTATAGAATCTATACAGCCATTACCTTCTCTTCCTTCCAATGCCCCCTTAACTCACCTCTGTCATGCTGCCTACAAAACCCACCCTGCTGATAATGTTTAGGCAGGTGGCAAGTTAATGTTACAGCTACTGATCGGCTTATTACATCTCCAAATTGTGGTAAGCACTTGTTCCTGCTCCTCCTCCTCCCCTCTCTCCTCCTGTTTGTTTGAAATTATGTCTTGTCTTTGATACTGCAACTTTTTGTGACTGAACCTGTCTCTTACTACATGTCTGTACAGTGCCCAGCACAATGGAGCCCTGACCTCGCTGAGATCTCTAGGGACTAATTGCAATACAAATAATAAATAACAAGTTAACAATTTGCAGTGGGAAGTATTTGCAGTTTTTATCCAAATGCAGCCTGACTAGAGAGCAGCTAATAGTGTAATTTCAGTAGGCAGATCTTCTTATGAACACTTCACTCTTTGATCTGTTGGCATTATATAGATGTCCTCTGCCCAAAGCTAACACCAGCTCTTTCTGGACTGTAGAAAGAGGTGGGTGCAGAATTGGAGATCCTGGAATCACTGAAAAAGAGGGAGAGCTTCTGCACTGCTTTGGTATAGGTCTGAGCCTGGGAAAAGAGCACATTGGGAAACAAGGTGCTACTGTGATGCTACCGGGGAGTTGTGAATCTGGGAGCAGAATCCAAGACATGATGGGAAAGCTGCAAGAGTGATCTCTGTAAAACAGATCTGAATAGGTTGTTCTCTTTGCCGTTTTCCTTTTACATTAATTTTGTTTCACTCTTTCACTGTTTGCATCTTTCTTCTTGTTCAAGCAAAGCTGTAAGAATTTGTGTTTTATTGCATTAGAAATAGAGCTGGCTGGAAATTGGGGAATTTTTCCAAGGACTTTTTTTTTTTTTTGGTGAGAAAACGAAATGCTTTGAACAAAAACAAAACAGAACAAAATTCAGGCTTCCCTCAACAAAAATATTCTAGAAAAGTAGACACTTTCTGCAAAAAATGTCACGTTGTCGATAACCCAATTGTCAAAATGTTTTGACAGAAAATTTTGGATCAGCCTTAATAAAAAGTGCTGCTACTCTCAATTGCTTCTTGGAGAAAGAACCAGAGCTCAGCTTCCTTTAATAGGAATGTCTACACCTCAATACCTACATAGAGCAGCTTTCCAGAGCAAAAACTCTTTAGGAGGATGAAGACACAGAATGGGAGTGTAAATAGCAGTAAGAGCAAGCCCTGGCTCACTGCAACTTACCAATATTTGCATTCTGTAGAGATGTTTGGATCTATAGAGATGTAGGCTCAAGCCACAACATTCAGATCCAGATCTGGATCCAGAATTCTTTGTCCAAGCCCAGCTCCACAATTAAATATCCTTATTAACAAATGTAATTCACCAAAGACCACTGCATAAAGACAGAAATATTTGAAGTCTTCAAACCTGTTAGTGTACATTTGCTACTGAAGTTTAAAACTTTTGAAGAAAGAAAGAAAGAAAGAAAGAAAGAAAGAAAGGATGCTTCATAGGCTGATTTTTGAATTCTTCCTCTTTTCAAAGTCTGAGGTTTGAACATTCATGAACAGTTGACTGTTTGAATCGTATAATGCAATACCTGTTCCTCTGGCTTAACGTTGCAATATTTCCCACACCGCAGGATTGCTTCACATTATTCTATGAGGCAGTGTCATTTTCTCTGCAGTGCTGGTCTTCTTTACTGAAACGAAGGACACTCCTACTTCCTTTAATTATATGTTTTGTTTTAAATTGATGTCTTTTATTTTGAGCATGAATCACCAGCTTGTAAACAGGTAAATGTGGGAGTAAAAGGGAAAACATAAGTTTGATTCCCAAGGTGGGTGTCTTTAATTAAAATGGACATAAGAATTTATTCTTACTTCCCAAATTTACCATGCCCCCCCCAAGTCAATTTGACTTAATAAATTAATAAATCATTGCATCCCATGCCTTTACGTGTATATATCTCACTTTTTTCCATTAATTTTAAATACAACTCCCAGAGCACAAACTCCATAGCACTTGTGTACTCTGACAATTGCAACATACCATATAAGGCAAACATGCCAGGCCAAACTTTAAGGCCATCCACCCTGCACACAGAGGTGGGAAGGGGAGTTTTGGATTTGCCTGGCACTTCTAATCATGGCCAGATACAGAGAGGGTCTTCTGAGGCAGTGCCTTACCCTGGTTTGAGCCCAACACAGTATGCTTTTTACACCCACTGTGGCAACCTGGTTCTGAGTGCATCTGTATGGGACAATTTTGCCTGCCAGCATGATAAAATTCATAGGGCACTGGATTGGTATTAAGATCTGGCTTCTATTCCTGGCTCCAGGGCTGTCTCTAGGGGGGTGCAGGCCCAGGGTGGAAGTAACAAATCCGTCACTTCTGGGACTGACCCGTCACTTACGGGACCGACCACACCGGCCAATTGCATTGGCCTGCGGGGCCTACCAAAGCGTGGGGCCCGGAGCAGTCGCCCCCATTCGCCATACCCAAGGGATGGCTTTGCCTGGCTTTACCCCTGACTGGATGAGCTACCTTGGGTAAATCTCTTAACTTCTGTGCCTTAATACGTAAAATGAGAATACTGACACTCACCCGCCTTTGTACGACACTGAAAGATCTACAGATGAAATCTACAGACATCACAAGCCTCAGAGACAATGGATCCAGCCCATACTGGCCTCTATGAGCCACATCTGGCCACTTGCTGTCCCCACAGCTGGACACTGCTAAAGCCTGAGTGGTTTGGGATGGGGAGGGAGAAGAAAAGGGCTGGACTCTGGGGAAGAAGGACAGGGGTGGATCTGGTGGCTGCTTTTTCCTCCTCTCTGAGGACAGATTGGATCGGGCAGGGGAGAGACTCAAGCGTTTATGCCCATACTGGTACATGGGCAGATGCAGTCTCCCACTGTGTGTGTGCATTTGTCCTAGGGTCACACCAGGGTTGATTGCCGTCCAGTGACATCTCCTGGAGATTTGACAACAGCCAGAGAGAAGACAGGAGAAGGCTGCGATCCCTTTCTCCGTCTCAAATCTTTCCCTCCCCTTAATGATGGTGAGAATAAGTCACCTCCGCTCCGAAGCCAGCCCTGTTTTTCTTATGAATGACTAGGTCAGAGTCACACACACCAAGTGCCTCCCGCGGAGCTAGAGGCGGTAGTTTACAATTACAACTGTACAAAGTGTGCACCAGGTGGCAGCCAGCCAGCCAGTGACGCTCCTGTTGCCATGGGATCCACCGCCCCTATAAATAACAGCAAAGGAACTTTCCTAAGTCAGAGACTTTAGGACTCGGGACCTAGAACCAGATGGTCCGGAGGAGAAGCAGCAGCCGCCGCCGCAGCAGGATCTGAGCCAGCCCAGGTGGGCAGCACAGCTGGGACGCCGGACCCAGCACCAGAGACTGAGGCAGGAGTTGCAGGCCCCCCCACGTCACCTTTGGCAGCTTGATCCTGTGGCTGGGGGCCCCCCCCTGCGCTGTCTCCTCCTCCCTGCACCCCCCCTTTGCTTTCATGCAACGCCTGGTGGCCTGGGACCCAGCATGCCTCCCCATCCAGCCGCCCGCCTTTAAATCCATGGAAGTGGCTAATTTCTATTACGAGGCGGACTGTCTGGCTGCTCTGAGCAAGGTGCACCCGCGGGCGGCAGGGGGCCGCTCCATGACTGAGTTCACCGTAGGGGACCACGAGAGAACTATCGACATCAGCCATTACCTGGACCCCTTAGCATCCCAGCCGCCGCCGCCGCAGCCTCCTCCCGCAGGAGCAGCAGCAGGGGGCAACTTTGAGCCTCCCTGCAGCAGCAACGGCAGCCAAGATTTCCTCTCCGACCTCTTCTCCGAGGACTATAAAGGCGGCAGCAAGAAGCCCGACTACACCTACATCAGCCTGCCCCGGCACTGCCACCCGGGCGCCGGCCAGGGCCAGAAGCCCGGGGGGCTGCTGACCTGCTTCCCGCCCCAGATCGTGGAGACCAAAGTGGAGCCGGTCTTCGAGTCCCTGGACTCTTGCAAAGGGCCCTGTAAGGAAGAAGGAGGCGCGGGGCCGGGGCCGGGGGGCATGTCCTCCCCCTACGGCAGCACCATGCGCTCCTACCTCGGTTACCAATCGGTGCCAAGCGGCAGCAGCGGCAACCTGTCCACCTCGTCCTCTTCCAGCCCCCCCGGCACCCCCAATCCGTCCGATTCCTCCAAATCCGGCGGCGGGGGCTACGCCGGGACCCCCGGGGGCAAGAACAAGTCCAAGAAGAGCGTGGACAAGCACAGCGACGAGTACAAGATCCGCCGGGAGAGGAACAACATCGCGGTGCGCAAGAGCCGGGACAAAGCCAAACTGCGCAACCTGGAGACGCAGCACAAAGTCTTGGAACTGACCGCCGAGAACGAGCGGCTGCAAAAGAAAGTGGAGCAGCTCTCCCGGGAGCTGAGCACCCTCAGGAACTTGTTCAAACAGCTGCCCGAGCCCCTGCTGGCCACATCTGGCCACTGCTAGCCCCACCGCTGGACACTGCTAGAGCCGCAGTGGTTGGGGTTGCGGGGGGAGGGAGAGGGAGAAAGGGCTTGAATTTGGGGAAGGAGGATGGGGGGGGGGGGATCTGGTGGCTGCTTCTTCCGTCCCCTATGAGGACGGATTGGAGCGGGGAGGGGGGGGAAATGGGGAGAGACTCAAGGTTTTTGTTTTTTGTTGTTGTTGTCTTTTATTTGCAATTTGGTGGAAAAAAACTTCCGCCGCAGCCTGTTTGTCCTAGGAGGGGGACTCTCCTGGCGGGCGCCAGGGTCCTCAGCCCCGTGTGGCGGAATGACAGTTGCCGATGGTAATTTTTTTTTTTAATGTTACAGTCCCACCGAGCCCCCCTTTCCCCGAAGCGGTCTCTCTGCAGAGTTTGTTGAATGTTCGTGTTATTTAAACCAGAGCGAGAGAGGGAGAGAAAAAGCAGAGAGTGATGCAATCCTTTAAACATGGCTGGGAATGCTGTGTACACATGATGCAATCTCGTGTAACTGTCAGTCATGAATTGAGTAATCTGTTAAAGATGTTCCTGGGTTTTTTTTTTATTATAAAGAAAAATCTATTTCTATAAGAAAAACACATATGTATATTTTGGGATCTATAAACGTTCTTGCTACATTCGAAGCATTAATGAACAATTTTAATAAACTGTATGGCTAGGGAAAAAAAGGAAACTTGTTTTATTTTAAAGGCACTTTAAAGCCAGAATGAAATCAGTTGAAATGCCAGCTAGATCTGGCTGTGTCAGGAATCAGGGCTTTCTGTTGGCCTTTTGACTTTCTCTGTGACTCAGCAAAAAAACGGGAGAGAACCAGAGAAGAGCAGCTGTGGGAGCTTCAGCCAGTTCCCCCTTGCTGCCTCACTGAATTTCCTCTAATCCCTTGAGTTAAATGCTGTTTGGGATTTTTTGCAACACTCATAACTCTCAACATGCCAAGACCCAGAGGTGCCATCCAAACCATGAAAAATGTTTAACAAAGTCCCTCCAAGCGAGGGACAAGGTTAAAGCGTGGGAGCGGGTGGGGAAAAGAAAAAGTAAAGGAGGAAGCTTGAAATGAGGAGGGATTCTTTCTTTAAAGCTCAAGTTTTTGTATCATGTTTCATGACTCAGCATTTCTAATGTCTGTGGTTTACAGCAATGAATAGTGATAACATGGCATTTTTGTGTTGGATGGCGGTAAATTTGGGCCAGCAACGAGGGACCTCTCTCTCACATAACTAGGTCCCGTGATACATGTGTGAACAACTCTCTCTATAATTTCCTATTGAGCCTTCTTTTTAAAACGTTTTTCTAAAGGAAGCTGCTGAAACAGTTGAGTTTTGGAAAGGTGGGTGTGTGGTAATGGTGGTGGTAGTGAACAGGTCAGGTATGTGGTTTAGGGTAAAAGTTAGGGTATAGGAGGATGTGTGTATGGAGCCGTAAGAACTCTGTGACAAAAATAATAGAGGCTCGGCCAGCAGATGTACTATGTGGGATTTGTCAAGGCCTGTGAGTTACACAAAACTCTCTATAGTTTGCTCTTGTGTACGTGCCTGTAAAATGTTATGAGAGCCTAGAGCTGATTACGTGCAGGGAGTTGGGTACATGTTCAGGTCTTATTCAGCATTTTCCAACATACTAGGCCTACTCTGAGCACATCCATCTTCTAAATCCAGATGTCGAAAACTACCAGGAAAGAATTTCCTTAACCCCTCTATACTGTGCTTTACAGTAGGGCACAAATGTTCTGTTTCTTTAAGGGTGTGGATTTGAACTTGCTGCCTGTTATATATTTTACTGTAAAGGACAGTGATTGGGAGTGGATGTGGAGCAGCCTTAAATTTGGTGTTTGTTGATACTGATTTTACTCACAAAATATGTGGTTAATGAGGGAGTTGTTTTTAATTTTCAGTCACAGTGATCACATCTTCCTCAGGCAGGGAAAACTAGAGTCTACAGTGGAGTTGATCAAGTAACTCTCTGTTCATGCAAATCTCTCATAGCCCTCACCAGGAGCTATGCAAGAGTAAGAAGTGTGGGATTAGATTCAATGCAGCTGTATTTCCCTTTTGCTTTGCAGTTTATACAAAGTAATTAAGGGACTCTGAGCCCCTAGAATCAGGCTTTTTGGGGTTATCTAGTCAACCCTCCTGCATTGTGGCAGGTTCACTTCTTGCAGGCTGGCTGGATGTAAGGTCTTGCCTTGAATCTACCTAGTGATGGTGATTTCCACAATCTTCCATTACCACTGGTTCCACTGTTGAACTGTTCTCCTAGTTACAAAACTTATCCTAATATTTAGACCCTATTCTCTTCTCTGCAGTGAAGGCCCATTTGTTCTCAAACTTGTAAGTGATGGTTCTGAGTTACATGGGAGGACTGCTGGCTTTAGAGTTGCTGAATGAAGGGCTGGAAATATCCCCAGGAACATTTCTTATTTCATTTATAAAGGACAACATTTCCATCCAAATCTGTGTGTGGAGGGCAGAAGTGAGGGGGAATGGAACTGAAAGAGAAGACATATTAAAGATCCTAATATTTGTTTAAAATAACATTATAAATCAGTGGGCCAAATTCCAGCAGTGGAGTTGCACCAGAGATGATGGATGGGCTAACCCGTTGCCTTTAAGCCTGGACTTGCTATACTTTAACTGGGACCCACACAGCTGTAATCAAGACAGATTGACAGGGGTACTGGAATAATTTTTATAGTGGGGGTGCTGAGACCCATTGTTTCAAACTAAACACTGTACATAATGGAAACCACTTCAAGTCAGGGGGTGCGGGAGCACCGCCCTCCCCCCAACATCCCTATTTCCAGCATTTATGCAGATTGATATAAAGACTACTTGGATTATTGCTACAGAATCTAATGCCTCCCTTAATTTGGACCATGTGTAACTCAGCTGGGATGTATCAGTACAACACTGAGCTTTGGTGAGGTAGGTATTACTACCCCTAGTTTACAGATAAAAACTGAAGCAAAATGTTGTGATTTGCCATAGGCCTCAGAGGGCATCTGTGTCAAAGCCAGGATAAGAATTCACGAATACCTGGTTCTATGTGTTTTATCCAGCCACCTACCTTACAGTTGAGCAGCTTTGCAATGATTTTAGGTGTGTATGGGCCATGGAATATGAGTCTTCAGAAAAAATACCTCACAATTAAAAGATTTCGTAGTATAAAATATGCAGGGACTGTTATCTGGGGGAAAACAGAAACAAAAAACAAATAAACAAAGCAATCTGTGCAATCCATCGAAGTATGATCACAGCAGAGAAATGGGGATCATCCCCGTCCAAACCTAGCTCATTCTCAAATATTGATCTAGAGTCCCATTAAAAATAAATTTCTGCTGATTGAAAACAGAGCCTCATGCACTTCACTTGTCACTTTGCTCTGTCTCTTCTGCTTCTCTGTGTTGAGGACGCTCATTGAGGAGCCAAATATATTTTGGGGTGTGATCCTGGAGTCTATATGCAAGCAAAACTCCCATTGAAGTAAAGGATCAGGATGAGACCCATGAGCACAATTTTGTCTCCTTTGAAATACGTGCGTACCATTCAGATTTCAGCCTTTTTTTCCAAGTTATCATTAACACTTATTTTTTATTTCTACCAGCTCATGCTTGCTGACCCCAGTGGGGTTTTGCTGGGGTAGGAGATAGCAGAATTTCCCCATCTTTAGAAATAAAATATTCCTAATGAGAACATAAAATCCCTGCCATATACATTCTGTTTCTAAAGGGTTCTAAATCCCACTTCTGAATCTGCTACACCAGTTGTTCTCAACAGGGGTCCGGGACCCCTGGGGGGGTCGCAGAAGGTTTCAGGGGGTCTGCCAAGCAGGACCAGCATTAGATTTGCTGGGGCCCAGGGCAGAAAGCTGAAGCCCGACCGCATGGGGCTGAAGCCCGGGGCCCTGAGCCCCGCCCACCCAAGGCTGAAGCTGAAGTCTGAGCAATGTCGCTTTGTGGGGGCCCCTGTGGCATGGGGCCCGTGCAGTTGCCCTGCTTGCTACCCCCTAACGCTGGCCCTGGCTTTTAGATGCATAAAAACAGTTGTTGTGGCACAGGTGGGCTGTGGAGTTTTTATAGTATGTTGCGGGAGGCCTCAGAGAGAAAAAGGTTGAGAATCCCTGTGCTACACCATTTGGATTCAGTGGTATTTAATTCCACAACAGAAAATCTATTCCTCAAAATGTATTGTTTAAATAAACATAATTTAAAATATTAACAAGTTCTAACTTTTAAGCAAGTTATCTGTCAATCTGTCTACCTTGTACTACACTTGTCACCGTGGCATCTGCATGTCACAGATATTTTAGCAACAGTTTTCTGCATTGCTGATGTTATATGCTGTTGCTTCACATTCTAAAGATGCTTAACTCGCATTGCCTTCCATTAGTTACCCCTGGAATTTGCAGCAGTAGGAGTTATTGTTAAAAATTACCCTTGTTTGTGTCTGCATTCATTTTTTCCTGTGTCACACTAATAAATGCAATCTTACAAATTACAAACATGCACAAAAAGATTATTGGAAGGGTCAGTCATATATTAATTTAATAACAACAGGTTTGTCTTCTTGAAATCATGTGAGAGCCATCAAATATCTAAAAAAACAGCCCAGGGAAACTATAAATGAGGCAGTATAACTAAGTTTTGATGACTGAGATTTACCCTTGCAATCACAGTAGTCCTAAATTAGAAGGAAGGATGCTGCAACTCAAAATAATATCTGCTTTAAGAAACCGGAAAAAAAAATTGGAAGCCAGATTATACCTCATCACTTATGTTTATATTTTAACTTCAGGGTCCAATTATCTCCCTGCACGTTGTGCAGTCAGTCACATAAATACAAAGTGAATGTAGAACATGAATAAATCAAAAGGGTAGGATTTGCATCCAGTTTGCCATGATATAACTACACAACATGTAGAGGGCAGTGATGGTTTGGGCCCTAACTTCTTTTGCTACATAAAAGTCCTCCTAAACATTAGAGCTGGATGAAATAATGCAAACAAAATCCTATGAATTTTTAAATGAATTATGTTTGCACCCTTTTATGTTTGTTTTGTGCAAATATTCGAGAGACAGTTTTATCAGCACAAATTGATGTGTTTCAAATTTGCATGAACCAATGTGAACGGAAAGAAGAGTTAAATTCACACACAACCACAAGTATTTGGGCTGAAAATACTTACCATCCAATCAGGGAACAAAAACAACACCACAAACTTAACTGACCAATCACAACTAAACAAATCAGCTCAAATTTTGAATATTTGTCCATAAAGTCCATAAAGTTAAAAAAAAGTAAAATAAAATATGTTGACAAGGTTGAACAGAAAATATATTTGAGGAAATTGTATCTCCGTTGGCAGATAGTCCCTGAATAGGAAAAGAGGCTCTATTAGTCTATAAATTTTCCTTTGCAAATTATTTGCTGAGCTCCAAAGATACTTCATAACTTGAGCCATGGGAAGTGTTTGCAATAGAATGCAAAGCCATGCAAATTCCCTTGGCATTGAAACAAATTCAGATAACATCTCCTAAAATGTTTGCTGAGGTTCTTGAGTCTCTCAGGTGGAATTGGGCTCCATTTCAATCCAGACTGGGTGGATGAGCACCAGGTTGCTATAGTGACTGGTGCCCTATGTAAACACATAGATTAGATTCCATTTTGGATTGGCATCAAACTCATGTGAAACCCATGCATGATGCATGGGTCCTGATGCAAAACTAGGTGAAGCTGCAATCGAGTTTCACTTTGAATTTCTGGTTATGTTTGAACCTGAAGCTCAAAAGATAATTTTAGGGGGGTGTAATCCCACATGGACCAAAGCCAAAGGAAATGTATTCATGAGTTCCTGTGAAGTGAAACCGCTGAATTCATCATAATTCTGACTCTCCATCAGTATGATTCATTCACAACCAAAGTGCCTTTTGGAAACTGTTACCACCTGCCTGCTCAACTGTTTTCTATTTTATTTTATTGTATGGAAGCTTTTGTTCCCCCCTAGAAAAGTGGGTGATTATATTCTGAGACAGGAGGGGTAAAATTCAGCTTGATTGTAAATGATGTCACTGACATAAATGGAGGTGCCACCATTTACCCTAGAACTGAATTCAGACCCAGACCTTCAACTGGCTGCCACCAATTTCACACAGAGCCACAATGTTCTGATCTTCATCTGCTTTCAACTTCCCCAAAGTTTGGAGTGTCTAGATCCAGTGTTGCTCAGCCCATTAAAGGGACAGAATCTAGATACACATTTTAATCCACATGAGGGTCTTGGTCTTCATCCTGTCCTGTCCCTTCCTCTCCTGTCTGTGATATTTTTAAAGCACCTATCAGTCACACAGGTATCAAAGCACTTCCTCAAAGTTCAGGGGTGTTTGCATCTGGGGGTTTACTTAGATCCCGTATTGTAATTTCATGCAATTAATACCATGAAAAAAAAAATAGCCTCTACAAATCCAACATATTCCCTGTATGCAGTGCTCTTTAAAAACACTGACCTTTTGTGAACAGACCTGTTTTTGATTGGCTCTAACACAGAACAAGTCTGCACACTGAGCCAATCAGAATGAAGTGAGGAAATAAAGTCGTTGATAGGGCCTACAGAGCTTAATGGTTTCTGTCCCCCCTTTAAAACCAGCACCATCATGGCTTGTTTATTTTCTATAAATACTTTGGCTTACTAGTATATTGCAACAACAGATAATGAAGCCCGTGGTAGGTATTTCATCAACGATGCCTCCAAATGATAGAAACAGTAAATAGGACTCTAAAAATAATGTAAAAATCCCTCTGATTTATAACCTATCGACTGCTCCCTCCTACACTGGGCTGCCTGTGATCTGGGTCTGCAGAAGCTCAGGGAGCATGATTTATGTTATGTATCAGTGAGCCGAGGAGCATTGGTTTCAGAAACGAATGTCACAGTGATGCACTGGGAAAATATTTCTGTGCAACATGATGAAATAATTACTTGGCTGAAGTAAATCAGGAAGGGAATCACAGGAACAAGAGAAAGTGCCTGGAGCCCATTCAACAGGCAGAGGGGAAAAGTGCTGCTGGCCAGCTAATAGAAAAGCTGTTTCGCTAAGTTCCCCAGCGTCTGCCATAGACAATGGTTCTGGGGGTGGAGGATGTTTCTGACACTGACTTGCTCCACTCCTAATTGTCTAGGTGTCTTATTCAGGCTGGTGAAATATTGTCTGTCTATGTCCTTATGGGCTTTTTAGAAAACAAAAAGCCAGAAAGCTAATCTAGAATACGATTCAGCAAGGTCCTTAATACAGGCTTAACTGTAAGCACCTGAGTAGTCACAATGAAGTCGAGGGAGCAGTTCACTATAGACTAATTAATGGAACTAAAGAAAGAAGGTCACGTTCCAAGAGGGACTTAGTCTAGCAGTTGGTACCAGGGGGCCAAGAGTGCAAGCTGGCCCAGTCCTCTTACACTTAAAACTCTAGAGCTTCAGCCTGTAACACAGGCCTAGCTGCATGCTCAATAAAGATATCTTTCCTACAACTCTGCCTGCCACTTCAGCTATTGCTAATGAGCCATGGTGGCAGTGAACACTTCTGTGCTTAAAGTTAAACGTGTGCTCAAGTAACTTGCTGCAGCAGGTCCCTAGTTCTGAGAAACCAGAATGGAAGACAAAAGACTAACACTACAGCTGTATATGTACACAGTGTCCATCAGACACACTGTATTCCCAGACACTTAGAGAGCCAAATAACAACAGCAGTGCAAAGCTAAATAATTAACAATGTAAGACAGGGAGAAAAATGAAAAGGAATGGGGATCAATGACATGGTTAGGCATAGGCCTGTGAATCAGAAGGTGGGGGTTCTAGGCCTGGCTCTGCCACTGATTAATTAAGACTTAGAAGTTCGTTAGGCCTATATTTACAGGAAGATGTATGCACATATGTGTAGCTCCAATTGTGAATGCAGTTGCAATAATGGCAGGTGCAAATGACCTGTTTCATATCTAACCAGTAATGCCCCTCTGCCATGTGCATTGGCCAAACCGGACAGTCTCTACGTAAAAGAATAAATGGACACAAATCAGACATCAGGAATGGTAACATACAAAAGCCAATAGGAGAACACTTCAATCTCCCTGGACATTCAATAACAGATTTAAAAGTAGCCATCCTTCCACAAAAAAACTTCAAAAACAGACTTCAAAGAGAAACTGCAGAGCTACAATTCATTTGCAAATTTAATATCATTAATTTGGACTTGAATAGGGACTGGGAGTGACTGGCTCACTACAAAAGCAATTTTCCCTCTCTTGGTATTGACACCTCCTCATCAGTTATTGGGAGTGGACCACATCCACCCTGACTGAATTGACCTTGTGATCACTGGTTCTCGATTTGTAAAGTAACTGCCTTCTCCTCATGTACCAGTATATTTATGCCCGTATCCGTAATTTTCACTCCGTGCATCTGAAGAAGTGGTTTTTTACCCACGAAAACTTATGCCCAAATAAATCTGTTAGTCTTTAAGGTGCCACCAGACTCCTTGTTGTTTTAGTGGATACAGACTAACACAGCTACCCCTCTGATACATATCTAACCAGTCATTTGTGTGTGCAGTTACCATGACTACACATAAATCATGGTTAAATAGGCACACAAAAGTGTATACATTTTTGTACATACAATACATGCAGTTTTCTGAAAAATTAACTGTGCTTCATCATTGTTTCCCTATTTGTAAAATGGAGAAAAATAAGATTTATTCTTCCTCATCAGGCTATTGATTGGATAAATCTATTAAAGGTTGTAAAGCATTTGAGATCCTCAAATGGAAAGTGCTATAAAAGGGGAAAGGGGGAGATATGAAAATTGATGATG